AAATACAAAGGACCTCAAATAGAATCAACCCAAGAAGATCTTCTCCAAGACACATGATAGCCAGATTGACCAAAACCACAGACAAAGACAAGATACTAAGACTGGCAAGAGAAAAACAGCAAGTTACTTATAATGGATAGCCCATCAGGCTGACATCAGAAACAATGCGAGTGAGGAAAGAATGGGAAAATATATTCAAAGTGTTAAGGGAAAAGCAATTTCAACCAAGAATACTGTACCCAGAAACATTATCCTTCATATGGGAAGAAATGACAAGAACATTCTCAGATAAATAAAACCTGAAAGGCTTTACCAGCACCAGACCAGATCTCCAAGAAGTTCTGCAGGGAGTGCTATGCCAGGAAAATTAAATACAGTCTCACAGAAATAAGAGTTCAAAAGCTGAAAATGGCCAACTTAATTGTGAGGACAAGTCAGGAGTTGAATATTATATCCCAGAATATTATCAGGAAGATTGGACCACAACAGAAGATAAAGTACATGAGACTAAACTGTTGAAATAGAATTTTATGACTTTTGACTACAACATTGCTGATTTTCTTCTAGGCTTCATTTTCAGTTTTAAGGATTTTTGTCCTGTCTTGAACTGCCGATAGGTTCATGTATCTACTATTTGAATAGAATTCCAACCTGTTTCCTGGCTTTAAGTTTTAAGCATAGTTCCTTAGCATTTCTTTGATTTTTAAAGCCAAAACCGCTTTTCCTGAAATTAAAAAATATAGTAAAAAATACATAATTAATTATTGTAGTAAGCTAATATATTATAAGCATCATCTAGGTGCTACCTTATAGTATATTCATTCTACTCAGAATCTCACGCCTAAAGTCAGACATGTATTCATAGATATGTATATATCAGCTGAGCTGGCTATTCAAAGTAGATTATTTAAGAAATTTTGTGAATCAACAAAATGTGGGGAGGAAAAGAAATGGAAAACTGAGATTGTGTGGGAGGAGGGCGAGAAATAGGGGGAAATATATATATATATGTGTGCATATATATACATATATATATATATGAAACTAGAAATGGAAAATTATTGACAATAACATGTATGATTAAGCCACTATGCTGTATATTCTGGATGGGAAATGACATTTTGTATGTTGTGACAATGCTCAGTTAATGAATGTAAATTAATTAAAAACAAAAAATTTTTTTTAAAAACCCTTAGTTTACAGATCTCTAAATACATTGTGTGCATGTGTGTGTGTGTGTGTGAGTATACACGAGAGGTCTTCACAGTTCATAGAAAATTCATATTATGAAACAACTGTATATAGATTTCAAAAAATGTTCAACAAAATAAACTTGTATTTTAATTCTATTTTCCTCCCTACATATGGATATTCTTGGTAATCATTATGCTTTCAGCAGAATGATTTAATAAAAGTCCCACAAGAAACATTTAAGCTAATTTGAACTACCCTCAGTGACCATTAAAATGAGATTCCTCTTGCTATTCACCTGCTAATTCAGGCATGAATTCAGCACAGGCATGCCAATGTTAAATGTGAAAAGTTTATGGTGAGCGTGATGATGTTCAGGTGTTACAGCATCCCTGGTTTTCCTACATTAATATCCTCCTGAAGTCGTAAGCTGATCTCTAATGCTGCACCATGGTTATAGTAGATGAAACATCTAAAGAGCAGTTTGGTTTCACATAGAAACAGTTACCAAGACAAACCTGCTCATAGGACTGAGTTCCAAGAACATTAAATCATAAAAATCGTTTCGGCAGCTGGTTAAAGCTGAGTGTACATAATACAAGACATCTGGTTGTCTGTGCGTTTTCAGTTAATTTAAAAAGTATAAACACATTAAAACACTGAAATGTTTGATATATTACAACATTGTCAGCCTGCTCCTCAAGAGCGTTTAAGAGACTGTTCAAGTCATCGTATTCACAGCTTATTTTTCAGTTACCTACCATTTCCATCTCCCTTAACTGCACCAAAACATTTTATCAATAAAGACCAAAACAAAAGAATATATTCATTTACCATATACGCTGGATTCCCACATGGCTGACCACAGTTTGAGTCCTGAGCCTAGTGGCTTGCTTTCTTACTTTCCCTCCCTTTCTCTCCCTCTTTCTCTGCCTCTCTAGTCAAACTGAAATAATAGTAACAAAGTTAAATAAATAATTATTTTTAAAAAGAAAAGAAATAACAGACAATATATGTGTTCCCCCTTCCTTGTCTGACCAAATGTGATGAAAACCTAACTGCCTTGGTTTAACCAAGGTAGCTATTTAAGGAATCCAAAGGTAAGGGATCCAGGGCTGGTGAAATCACTTTGTTATGTCATTGAAAGTTCATGTTCCTTCCTGGGACGCCATTCTGTGCATGTAGTACTTGTTACCATAGTTTCAAGATGGCACAAGCACCACCTCCACATTCCAAGAAAGAAGAAAAGGGACCAAATGAGCAAAAGGCTAGAAGGACATGCTCTGCAAGTTCATGACTTCTGCTTGCAAACAGCTGACCCAAACTATGTCCTGTGGCCACATGTGGCTGCCCAGGTGTCTGAAAACTAAGCTGGGCATACAGTGTTACCCTGAACAATATTGGAGTTTATCAGAAAGGAGGAGAGAAGGAATATCACGTCTACAAGAACCTGTATCTATCATAAGAGTTCAATTAGAATGGGAAATTTTCCCCTGTGCCTTTCCCACAGATGACTCCTCAGCTGTCTGGGTCCCACCTTCCAGGCTGCACACCATAAGGCCAAGCCATAACAGGGTTTGGTTCCCACTTTTAAATCTATATGAAAATACTGGGGGAGAGGGGGACAGGAGCAAAGCAGTAAAACACAACGCTATGCAACGCAACCTCACATGGAAAGGTTCCCAGGTCAAGTCCAGAGACCCCCCCCTGAGGACAGCAGGCCCATGCTTACCCGTGATCTGAGGCTGGCTAAAGGGTGGGATCAAATTATGGCATCAAAAACCTGTCATGGACGTTGTCTGCCTGTGTGTCTGTCTCCCAAAAAAGAAATAAACTTTTAGAAAATTTCTGGATGCAGTACTCAATCTACAACAGAGGCCAGGTGCCTATTTTCCCACAAATAGATCCTTCCTTTTGGGGCCATAGTGAAATAGCACATTCCCAACCCATATCCCCATGTAGGTTGAGACTCTATGATGATAAACATTGAAGTCTATTTCCTTACTTCAAAAATAATCCTTTTAAAATATGCCTTCTCAACTAGGGGTTAAAAATTGGTTTTTCAGAGGTAAAAACCCTCATAGAGGCCAGATCCTGTTGGCTTAGTGGTTAAGGGAGCCAGAACCCACATGGTCAGGTACAAAGTGTGAATCCTGGCCCCGGCAACTTGACAAACATACTGGGAACATGTACATGTGTGCCCAATATCCCTACACAATGAAGAAATGGAAGAGAAGGGATCGCAGCACAACCACACTCCATTAGGGGGGTGCTTTCTCCCTCTCCTCTCCTTCTCTCTCTGTCCCTCTGGCAAGTCCATGAGCCCTCTAACAAAATTTAAATCAAACCAAAACAAAAACCTGTGTAAGTATTATAATGGTGTATAGCCCTCCAAAGAGCCAAAGCATATGAAGTGGTATTCAGTGTGCCTGGGGTTTTCAGATGTCATTGGGAGGAAGACAATTATCAAAGAAATGTGTAAAAAGGTTTCTCAGGGACAATTTTTTCAAAGGTTGAGAATCACAGCTTTAAAAGTTGAACATTATGAATCACATAGGAATTGCACTGAACAGCAGTGACAGAACCTAGTCAAAGTAACATCAACAAATAAGGGTGTTTTTTCGGTCACACAAAAGTATGGGCTGAAGAAGAGGAGTGGTAGTTGTAACTCTGCTTCAGCAGCTCGATGATGTCAAAGCAAAATTTTGGGTATGTCTCTTGGTTCATGATGCTAAAATGGCCACTCAACTCAAAAGAGCTCGTCCACAGCCATAAAGAAAGTTGTCAAGGGGACCAGCAGTTAGCGTAATGGCTATGTCGCTGGACTCCCATGTAGTTGACCGCAGTTCGAGTCCCGGACCCGGCGGCTTAAACTTACGCCGGGCATCTGTGCATGTGTGCCCAAGATCCCGAGAGGAGCATAGAGGAGAAGGGACTGTGGCATGGCCATCCCCCTGGGGTGGGGTTTCTTGCTTTCTGTCTCTCTCTCTCTGTCTTTCTGGTGAGCGCACGCACCCTATAGCAAAAACCTCTCCAAGAAAAAAAAGAAAGTTGTCAAGAAAAAAAAGAAATCTCTCTTAATTCTCTTTGAAGAGGTTTGTCCAGAAATCTCTTTGGAGGACTACCTCTAACATCACACTGACTTCACGTAAGTGTGGAAATGGAAATCTGGCCTCTCCAAGAGTCCGGAAATAAAATCAGGAAATCAGGAAGAACGGAAGAACACATACTGGATGGTCAGCTAGCTGTGTTTATCATGGATCAGATTCAAATTGCTTCCTTCTTACCTCTTCTTTCCAGAGACCTATAAAATTTCTTATAGAGACTAACCTAATTCTGTGCCTACCCATATACTTAATATTTATTTTCTTTTTCTTTCTTTCTTTTCTTTTTGCTAGAAGGTGCATGCACTCACCAGAGAGAGAGAGAGAGAGATAGGAAAATACACACCCCCACACACATAGGGAATGGTCAGGCTGCAGTCCCTTCTTTTCTATCTCTCTCCTACTCTGGGATTTTGGGCACACATGCATATACACTCGGTATGTTTCTCAAGCCGCTAGGTCCAGAACTTGAACCACATTGTAAGCCATGTGGGGATCCACTGCCTTAACCACCAGGCCACAGAGCTGGCCCTCATGTGCTTAATATTTCTAAAGAGTTTGCTTATTTATCCCTCTAATTTCATTGTCCTTCTACTTTATGAAGTCCCCTCATAAATACCAGGACTGACAAATTCTCTACATTATCAATTATCATCTTAAATATACAAAGAACATAAAACACATCCTGACTTAGCCAGAACTTACAGAAGTGGAATATCAGTGATTAACTGTATCAAACAGCAGAGCAATTCTTCCAAAAGGTCTTCTGAGTCAGAACCTGGTAAAACATATAAAAGTTTTTAAACATAATATACAATGCATGTTATTTAGAAGTTAAGTTTTCATTCCTAAAAAAACAAGAATAGCCACCATTACATAAACTCAGACACTAGTGTTGACTTCTGAATAAAACCTAAATCATGAACAAGCTAGCATCTGCTATGATCTTCATTTAAAGTGGGAATTTTGGACACCAGCTATTAATAAAGCACCTTTAAAGCTTGAAGGTATCCTGGGACCAGCAGATGGCATAATGGTTGTGTTGCTGGACTCCCACATAGTCAACCAGTTAAGAGTTAAGAGAAAGTTGTCAAGGGGACCAGCAGTTAGTGTAATGGCTATGTCGCTGGACTCCCATGTAGTTGACTACAGTTTGAGTCCCAGACCCAGCGGCTTAAACTTACGCCAGGCGTGGGTGCGTGTATGCTCAAAATCCCGAGAGAAGATGGAGAAGAAGGGATTGCAGTGTGGCCATCCCTTCTTGGGGATGATTTCTTTCATTCTGTCTCTCTCTCTTTGTCTCTCCAGAGAGTGAACATGCACTATAGCAAAAATCTCTGTTAAAAAAAAAAAAGGCTTGAAGGTTTCCTAAGGCTCCTATAGGCCAGTAGTTTTCAAATTTCTTACACTGCACTGCATGTCTTTCATTAATCTTACATTAACGTCAAACATTTAAATAGATAAAATATCAAGCTGTTTTAGCTGCTTTGTTCAACAGGAGGATATAGAACCTGTATTCCTCCCTTCAAGTATCTGATGTTAACCTTGATCTTCGTTTTAAAAAAACCACATTTATTTATTTATCTATTTATTTGTTGTGATTTTCAAGCTGCCAGGTCTGGGGCTTGAGCCACAGTCCAACCATGTAGGAATCCAATGCCTTAACTACCACGCCACCTGCTGGCCCCTAACCTTGATCTTCTTGATGAGCCTCAATGCATCTTTTCTGAACCACTGGGGCTCCACAGACTGAAACCACTAAGGGCCCTGCCTGTTAGTGACAGGCTGGGCTGCAGTACTGGAAGCCATGTAGTTGACCACAGAATCCCCAGGTCAGCTTAGAAGCTCAATGGGAACATATATGCATGCCCAGGATCCTGAGGAGCTAAGGACAGGAGAAAGGGGACCATGGTGTGGCAGGGGCCTAGAAAGGGTGCTTCTTTCTCCCACTCCCTCTCTCTTTCCCCCTTTTTTTCCCAAGC